CTGTCACGTCCCGCTTCCCAAAATACCCGGGAATCAGAACGTGAACAAGTCCGCGACGTATTAGATCAAGGAGAATAAATAAAAATAAATGTTTCTCCTCAACCTAATACGCTAAGCGTCTGGAAATAAGTACAATGCGAAATCACAGGTCCCCGATCACAATCAGCAAGAATATAAAGACAACTCAGAATAAGGGATAGACATATCATCAACAATAAATCGTCCCAGACATAAAAATATGGGTCCAACATACCCTTATTACAAAATAGTCCAACTAGGAATAAGAAATACATAGTCCATAAAGAAAGTACTGTTAAAATACTAAATCCGTCATCAACAAAAGACAAGTACGGTAAAAGAGTTTTGATATCCAACTACTACTACGGAAGAAAATCACTACGCTTCAGCTGGATCTTCTACTCCTTTTGCAAGGCACCACTGCTAAGAATCTTCTGGCTCCTGTACGATTCCGTACTGAGGCTGTTCGTCTCCTAAATCTGACGTACACCCGGAAAATAGGAGAACGTCAGCGTGTATGGCACACGGCAAGATCCCACAAGGAAGAATGGAATGGTCGAACGACCAATGCAAGAACAAGTAATAATAGTAAAAGAAACATGCTACTGGAATACTAATAATCTAAATACAATCTACCACTAGAATATAATAATCAGGAGTATCCAAGAAAGTCAACCAAGTAACAAGTCGATCATGTAGCCAGCGATCAGAATAATCATCCAAGTAACAAGGTCATACACTAGATGAAATTAATACTTAAAAATCTACAACTCGATACGTAGTACATCGAGCAAAATAATCCAAACAAGAAAACCCTCATGTATATACCATATGTCTCAAATTGTAGATAATTAAATATTAACCCCGATCTATGTATGAATCCATAATCACCTCAAGTAACAAGGTCATGTAACCAGCCATTCTATAACAGGTCACTGGTACAAATCTCACACAGAGTCAACGTTCATATCATCGTATAACTGATTGTTCGCACATCATCCAAGCAAATAAATTCATGAACCAAAGTAGCGACACCGATCTACTTTGACTCAACAAACTAACCCTAGTGATGACACCGATCCACTGGTACGAGCCTGGAAGATATATCAACAACCATATCCAAGCACATGAACAAAGACTTTCCCACCCCAACTCTTCTTGCTTTTCTAAGTCAACACAACACATGTCTCTAGGTCACACAAGGCCACTATGGTCATGACTGCTAATGGTTCTCAATCACAGCAAGGCAATAGTAATGTAACAATTCATGTGTAATAATATCATGACATATCATGTAATAATGATTTGTTATAGTATATAGGTATATATGAAAAGGAAGTATACACGCTAAACGAGGAAGCGATCCAACCAAAGGAAATATAGAAAATAATCATAAGTATAATGACGACATAACAAGGAATCCTACGACGTCAACGGGGAGAATCTCAAGATCTAGTTCCATTGTAGATAGGTCGGCATAGGAAACGAGAAGCAACTTCGGATTCAATTTCGAATAATTAAGCAATAGAATGAATGAAAAAGTCTAAACAAATCATCCTAAGTGAAGAGGGGCTCAAATCAGGATTGTCAATAAATCAGGACGTTAATCTCCCCTCCCTATTTTAGTGAGAACGGCGAAATTGCCTACAATGATATAGTCGGTTCATCTCCACAATTTGGAGGAATTCAAGGCGTATAGCCAACACAGAAATGAAACCAAATATATAGGCACGAAGGCCATCCACCGCAATGATACACAGCCATAAATGAGTCAACGAATATAATACAAGGCCATCAATAATATACAAGGCCGACAATTAATTATACAAGGCTGCAAACAATAATACGTTTCCCGGTAGCGAATTGCAAGCAAACCTGTAGGGAATTCTAGGCTAATGCATTCAAACATAAGTATAAGGAAGCACGATAAAGATGTGATATCAGGCAATAACACGAATCAAATGAGTAATCACATGAAATATAATTACGAGTCTCAATATGACATGAACATGACTGTATGGGATAACTATGAATCGGACGTGCATGTATAGTATAATAAATTCTTTTAAAATATCTATTATTATAATTACTCAAAATAAACCATTTATTTTTAAACTAACCTTTAAAAATAATTAGCTTATTAATTCCAAAATAATCCTTTACAAAATAATTTCCTTTAAGTTATTCCTAATCTTTTAAAATCATAAATCTATTTATTTAAAATTTCTTTTACAAAATAGTTTCTTAAAATATTTTCTCATTAAAATTAATTCTAAAACAATCTTTAAATGTTTCCTTTTAATATTATTCTCCTAAAAATAATTTCTTTTAAATATTTCTCACAATAATTATTCTAAAAATATTCTTTTAAAATATTTTTTCTTTTTCAAAACAACACCTCATAATTAATATTGTTCATCAAACAATTCCACGCAGATATATCACAACGTACAACATAATCATAATACAGTCTAAACATGCATATAATTAATTCACAGATTTAAAATTGAACTGACAAATCAAGAGATGTAGGATCTTGCCTACGAGGCCAAGGGGCCTGATGACGAGCGGCGGTGGCACCGCTGCGGATGCGGTACAACGGGTCTGAAGAATTGGTGGCGGATCTGAGCGGTACGAGTCGCTACTGCAGAGGAGATGACGATGACGGCTTGGATCTGGGCTGAGGCAGAGGAGAGATGCGACGACGGATTTGACTGCAAGGGTGGTGCTATTCGTCGGATTTGGGTCAGCCGGAGGTGGTCGTCGGCGGTCGAGGAGGGCTCAGACTGCAACGGCGACGGCGGTGGTCGAGGCCTGGGGACTGGTCAGGGATGAGGTGGCTATATCTGGGCACGGGATCTTGATCGTCGGCTGCGGCACGACAGCTCCGGCAGCGAAGCTGTTGGCTCCCACTGTGGTCGCCAGTTTGTTTTCATAAAAAATTGATGTTTTCATTGTTATCGAATCTATTACAACTTTAGTCGTTACAATAAACTCGAATAAAATAAAAAGTCGATCTTTTTATAAGATATCCTTACACAATGAAAATAAGAAGTTTACAACTTTATCAAACAAACGCAGAGATCGTTTATCGGTCTTCTGCTTGCGTGGGTGTCTTTGCCTGTGCCGGGGTTTATCCGTGGACCACCGTCGATCAGATCTGATTACTGAAAAATTAGGCAGAGCTTCGTCTATCCGCGAAGGGATCGAGAAACTGTAGCGCCTATCTCGATAAAAGCGAGATATTTGCTCTTTTTAGTATTACCACAACGGGATAATACTAAGGATTGGGTGCGGGTGATGTAGATCTGACGAAGAAC